TGCTTGGGGGTGAAAGTATATTATATAAAAAATGGAAGTCGCTAAAAAACCCTGAAGTAGTCTTTAATTTTTTTTTGTAGAAAGAAAAACTTTTTTATTTGCTGTAAAAAGCTTATTTATCGTTTGTCGTAAAAATTTATGTATGTATTTGGATTCTCTATAGCTACCGGCTCTAATATTTGGGAGTATTCCAGCTTAATAAATTTTCACTTTTTTCATAAGTTTGTAACTAAATTCGAAATTTTTAATTAGATCAGCACCACAAAACTAAATTTCAGATATTGACTTTTGAATGGGAATAAGTAAAAACTTTTATTCAAAAATCTGAAAATGCGAAATATAAAAGAATTAACAAAAAAAATTTATCAAGTCCTGTAACTTGCTAAGTAGTCATTTTGGTATTAGAGTACAAGCAGTTAGTTTGCTTTCTTTTTATCAGAGGAAGTTTTAGTTTACATTTTTTTATACCTATTTAGCATCATCATGTATAATTTAATGATTTTGTGTCAAAAAAATTATCAACACAGCATATAAGCATAATTTTCATACCGAAAATATAAACTTGAATATTACTACATAATTTCAGTAAAAATTACAAGATTACTAAAAAAAATAAAGAAAAAAACAATTTCATTGACGACAACATATAAAAAGCATGAAATTTTAGAAGAAGAGAAGATTTACATATTGTAAGGACAGTATTTATGTAAGAAAAGCAGTTGTTAATTTATTGTTAGTTTTTAAGACATGATAGTGATGGTGAGATAAATCGAGACGAGAAAGGATCTTCCTAATTTTAGCACAAACCTACAACTTGTCATGAAAGTTTTCATATAATCTGTTTAGCATAAACCCATTTATGAACTGTCAAAAATTTCTATAGTTAGTCTTAATTAAGACATGTAAGCGTAAACAGTACGTTCAAGAAAAAGAAAACTTTTTTTAAACAAAATTGAATAGTGAAGTTATATAAACAAAAGTGAAATAAGTGATAAAATGGAAAACTCCAAGTATTAAGAGAATACAAACAAGTTTTACCTGAATATTACCAGTGCGATCTAGAATAGAACACAACAAAGAAAATCAAGTTAAAAATAAATCTACAACATTATCTCCAACAGTTAACAACACACCTAGGTATAAGAAAATTGGGAATCTAGTGGAAGATGCATAAAAAATGGAGTACCTCAAAGAACTAGAGGCTTGCAACTATGAGATAATTTGTAAAAGGTTGATTTGCTTTTAGTTCGAGGTTATTAACAATAAATTTTCAGAAATAATTTTCCTATAAATTATGTTTTCAGAAGAACAAACGTATTAAAATAATTATGTTAGTTCTAAATAGATTTTATTTTTCAAGATGAAAAACGAAAATTCGATCCACTTTTTAATTTCACTAATCGTCAAAGCCAGTCATTATTTTTTAATTATATCACAGATAAGAAATAGTTCCATATTAAATAAAAATAGAGGATAATTTGCATTTATAATAAATTATGTTTCTAAAATTAGTATTTGCTTTAGTTTGCAATGAACTCATAATTTTTTTCAATTTGACGTGTATTCCTTAAGATAGAAGTGGACCTCAAAAATATATTAAATTTTAATGCTTACCATTTTTATTCCTTATCCTTAATATTATTATTTGTAGGATTTAAAACATTTCCTGGACAATGCCACCAACGGCTTTATCTATTTTAGTTTAGGAAGTAACGTTAAAAGTAAAGACCTTAAAGCAGAATCTTTAAAGGCCATTGTTGAAACTCTAAGGGAGTTGCCATATAAGGTGATGTGGAAATTTGAAGCTGATCCAGAAGACATGGTTGGTAAACCAGATAATGTGAAGCTAGTGAAATGGGCACCACAACTCGGAGTACTGGGTAGTATAATTAGATATGAGATATTTTAGGCGGGGGTTACGTTGGATGCGAATTTGCACGAAAGTTTATTATACAGGGTGGCCAAATGAAAACGAAAAAGAGTCATTTTCAGGAACTGCTTCAAGATTGTAGAAAAACGCTCAGACCTGCCGATTTTAGATTAATGGGGGACATTCTTTGCTGGTATTTTTGACTCCGCCACTTTCACCCCCAAGCAAGGGTAATTTCGCCCAATACTTATTAAGAATTTTGATTTTAAAGTTGAAACTTATGTACAAACAATTAGTAACGGTAAAAATGTCAGTCATTCGAGTTAAGTACTCCAATGGTATAAATTTAGTATTTCTTGCGTTACATTGGTCTTTGGCGATTTGTTATTACTTTCGTAAAAAAACACAATAAGAAATGAATGCTATACACACAATGAACGTAAAATTAGTGGATTCCAAATTATTTTCTAGTATGGTTGGATTGGTAGTTTATTTAATTGTGTTTTTGAAAATTAAACACTATGGTTTATTCCATTGCGGAAAGGGTAGCTATCATTTCGCTTTACTTTATGAACAATAAATATGCGAATAGAACAGCTCAGTTATTTAATGAACAACATCAAGATCGATATGTCAGGAGGAAGTATGTTCTAGAGTTAGTAAAAAAATTTCATGAGACAGGGAACGTAGCCAATAAAAAACGAGAAATTGAAAAACCTATAGTTAATGAAGCTAGTGAAGTTGCAGTTTTGGAACAAGTTCATCTTGATCCTACATTAAGTACGAGGCAGCGATATCTGTGTCTGGGATCAATCGAACTAGAATACACAACATTTTGAAGAAGAATAAATTCCATCCATACAAAATACATTTAGTCCAGGAACTTCATGAGGATGATTATGCGAGCGAGCAAGGAACGATCCACAGTTCCTTTTTAACATCTGTTTTTCTGATGAATGCAGTTTTTTCTTGAACGGAACGGTAAATCGTCACAATTGTCGCTATTGGTCCGATTTAAACCCAACAGTTTTTTACGAGGTGCATACACAGCAACCGGAAAAATTAAATGGATGGGCTGGAATTTTCGGTGACCGGCTGGTGGGTCCTTTTTTTCTACCTGGTTATTTGACTGGCCAAATGTATTTGCAATTACTGAAAGACGCTATTGACCCTGCCTTGACTGATATTATTGAAAACGTTCCAGAGTATGATTAATATCATTTGATTTTTCAACAGGACGGTGCTCCTCCGCATTATGCGTTAATTGTCCGTCAGTATTTGGACCAACGTTTTCTACGGAATTGGATTGGGAGAAGAGACAGCATTGAGTTGCCTCCACGATCACCGGATTTATCGCCCTTTGATTTCTTTTTGTGAGGATACGTAAAAAGTAAAATCTATAAAACACAGCCAGCGTCGCTGGAATATTTGCGTCAAATAATCGAATCACTCCGGAAATGCTTCGGAATGTGCGCGAACGTTTCCAACAAAATCTTTATTCTTGTACGGAAGCGGGCGGTCGTCAGTTTGAACATTTAATCAACTAAGTAGTAAGTAAGCAACTAAACATAATTTAAATTTTAAAATATAATTTTTTTTCAAAGTATTGGGCGGATATATAAAATTTAAAGTCTGTTGTAAAGAGAATTGTACGAGCTTTCAAAAGAAATATTACTCAACCCCCAACGCCATTTAAATATTTTGGAGTGGTGCTTACCCTTGCTTGGGGGTGAAAGTGACGGAGTCAAAAATACCAGCAAAGAATGTCCCCCTTTAATCTAAAATCGACGGGTCTGAGCGTTTTTCTACAATCTTGACGCAGTTCCTGAAAATGGCTCTGTTTCGTTTTCATTTGGCCACCCTGTATCCGCGCGAAGATGTTTCAATGCGAATTACCATTCAATGTAATCCCTGCTTTAATGTAAGGGAAAATATTTTTCAAATACTTCTTTAATTCGACCTCTAGCTATTTTCTCTCTTAAATTATTTGGTAACAATTGGCTATAAATATTTATGAGGGGCAAATCTATCTTTGTATTAATAAACAATAAATTAAAATATGTGATTATAGCTCATCCACACTTAAAATTATTCGTAACCCAGGGAGGCCTGCAGTCAATGGACGAGGCAATTTTTAATGAAGTTCCGTGTGTCGTAATACCGTTCTTTGCTGATCAATATCAAAATGCCAAATTAATGAAAAATAAGGGCTTTGCTGAAATTGTTGAGAGGTCCCCGTACATAAAGCAAGGCGAACTTACAAATGCAATTATGAAAGTCATCAACAATTACTCCAAGTAAGAAAAACTTTTTTAAAAATGTTCATCAGAGAAGGGAATAATAACTCATCTCTTTCTATTTAGATACAAAAATTCAGTGCGCACTCTTAAGCAACTCTCATTAGATACTCCAATGACTGGTCTGGAGAAGGCAATATGGTGGACGGAATACGTCATCAGGAATAAGGGTGCTAAGCATTTAAGGAATCCTGCAGCAGATTTACCCCTCTATCAGTATTATCTATTGGATGTTATTTGTTTCCTTCTGTCAATTACGATATTTACGTTATTAGTGATTTATATTGTACTTAAGAAATTGTTGAATTTACTGAAAGTACGTTTCTCTACTAAGCTAGATTTAGTCGACAAAAAATCACAATAGATATAAACTTTAGGTTCCTTATTTTAGTAGCAGTAGCTTCACTATCAATATTTCTTGTTATATTAAAGAAGATTTTTAAATTGTTTTAGAGTTCAACTGTTTCATAAATTTGATTGAATTAACAAAACATTAGAATAAACTGAGTTTTAATAAATGTTAAAAAATTTACGTTTTAAGTTGAATTGATTTTATATACCCAATGGATGATACGACCATTGGTATAATCTCTATGGTTACAAATACATGCTTTAATTCATGGGCAAAACGTTTTTACTTAGGTACTCTTTTCCGTTTTGTTCTTATTACGTAAGCGAAATCAATATTGTTGTACTCAACTACTTCTATCGGCTATAATAGATCTGTTGCAATTGAAAAGGAAATCCTGATTCTCGATCGTCGATGGAGGAGTGTACTTCTGGAGGATTGCTATTGAATTCATACTTCCTTCCAATCACATCCAATCCAATTTAATATATTTATTATATAATATTTTTATCGTGACGTAGGAGATAAGCTAAGCTAGTATTGTTGGTTGCTCCATTTATGCAAAATCCACATTAATAGCAAACGCTACATGCTATGTAATTTATTGATTTCAATATCTTTCGAAATGACTAAAACAGCATTAAGATTAGTAATAATACATTTTTACATTTAGAGATTTTATGTTCTAGGAATGTTTTATGTTATCGGTAGGAAACGATTTTTTTCCTACTCAATATTTAATATAATATATCATTCTTATATTTCGTTATTCTACATAGTGTTGCCTATAGTCATTAGACAATATATATTACACCAATCAATAATGCTGTTTAATAAATATTGAAAATATTTCACAGGTGCTGTACGCTAAAGGTTTTAAATGACCCTATGTAAAGAAATGTATAGGATCTAAATCAGGTGTTCGAAAAGGCCAAAACTGAGGTTCGCCACTGCCTATCAAACGATATGAATGTTGACGGACAATTTTTTTATGTTTTCTATTATATACAATATATAAGTATTTGTAGATTTTATAAATAAACTTCATATATTACATATTTTTATACATAGTTGGGGGTTGACTGACTACCGACATATGTAATATATAACCTAAATAATTTTAGCTCTTGCAAAATCATTTTACTACTCTACTATTCATGACACGTCTGACAGTGCACCGACTAGAACATTGATGTACCTACATCACAATAATAAAAAAAACTAGCTTTTGTCATTTCAGAGACTTTGTTTGCTTCCGAGCTTCTTGATTACTATTTAAATAAATTTATGGTCCACGGGCCCACGTACAAAGAAAAAAATGATTACCAGCAAGCTGTAACTTTGCGTGCAGCATAAGTTTGACGAGTCTCCCAAGACGTTTCAAGTGACAAACTAATAGAATTATAGAATTTATATATTTAAATTTATAGAACAATATTGACTTTTATAGTCAATAAATCAAATTAATAAATTAAATTATATCAATGTTACTGAACATACGTATTAAAGATAATTTCATGTAAGCAAAGTAACCTCGCAACAGGATATCATTCAAGGAAAGTTTGGTATTGGTTAAGAGTGGGTCTATAATAAACCACTTGAAGAAAGAAACACTCGATAAACTCACTGACCAGCACTACACCAAGAAAAACAATAAAAATACTTAGTAGAACTAGAAAATGCCAAGATTAAACAAACGAAGAGGAAATACGCTAATGATGAAAGCGATGACATATTAACAAGATCTCACCTGAGTATTATATTTTATTACTAGACTTAACATATCCTATTATTGGGCATCGCCTGTTGGATGTGTATTTAAATAAATAAATAAGTATGATGCTATTCTTTCCGAGCATGCGCATCAGGCATAACTTAAATTTAGGAATATTCTCTTATATTGTTTTTTGTAAGTTTTAGTGAATCTATTTTACCAAACACGTGCTGGTTGTTCTTAAATACTCCTAAATTAATTTGAAGTTGTTCGTTTTTATAGTATCTATGTAAATAGTACACAAGGGTCAGATTCTGTCTGTACAATTTCAACTATGACGATTTGTTGCGAATTGCTTAAATATGTGACGTCGTACTAAAAGAGTCTATTGAGCGTATCGAAAAATAATAATAACGAGCGTTCAAATAAAAACGTGGTCAAGTTGGTTCTGAAAATTTGGACGTAGGGCGTAGCGTATAGCAAATGAACTTAAACGTCATCTGTCAAAGCGCTATATCGCCGCTATCAATTTGAATATTTTCGTTTTAAAAAGCGTTTAAAATGGTGTTTTCTCAAGAACAAAAAGTGTTTATCATAGAGTCCTACTTTAGAAATGGACGCAAGATTGATGGAATATGGAAGTATTCTATTGAGGAATGTTTCATAGAATTTCAAAATCAATTTCCCGGCGTTGTTGAGTACAAAATTTTTCAAAGTGCAGTTCAGCGTTGTGTTAATGTTTTTCGTGAAACGGGCAGTGTAACAAGAAAAGAAGGAAGCGGCCGACCTAAAAAGCGGACTGAAGAATTAAAAGAAAATGTCCAACAAATAATGGAAAATGCGCCAAGAACTTCTGTACGTGTTTTATCACAAATGGTGGGAGTATCAGTCGGTACCTGCCACACAGTGTTAAAAAAAGATTTGCGTTTGTTCTCCTATCGTTTAACTTGTCAGCAAGAACTTCATGAAGTTGATTTTCCGCGACGGGCTGTATTTTGTGAATGGTTTTTAAACAACTACGGTGAACTTCATAATATCACCTTTTTTTCTGATGAAGCCTGGTTTCATTTAAGTGGTTACGTAAACTCACAGAATATGAGAATGTGGTCTTCTGAAAAACCAGATAACTTTTTTGTCGAGGGCCCTCTACACGCTCAAAAAATTGGAGTTTGGTGTGCTCTCAATCGAAGGAGGATTTATGGACCTATTTTTTTTAATGGTACTCTTACTGCGCAAAGGTATAGAGAAGAAATTATCGCTCCTTTTGTTAACCAGCTGGAAGAAAACGAAATTACAAACTTTTACTTTCAACAAGATGGCGCAAGGGCACATACGGCAGGCGAGACGATGAATATGTTGAGGGAAGTTTTCCAAAATCGACTAATAAGTCTCAATGCTGAACATGAATTTCCACCGAGGTCATGTGATATTACGCCGTGTGATTTCTTTTTGTGGCCTTACCTTAAAAACACTATTTTTGAACTGCCTATTCCTGATTTAAACCATCTGCAGGCTCGACTTATAGACAAGATTCGTGAAATTAACAATACCCCGAGCATCTTAGAAAATGTCTTTAATTCTTTGAGGAACAGGTGTGAAAAGTGCTTGGAACAAGGAGGGGGACACTTTCAGCAGCTGCTTTAATTTATTGTTATAACAAGGAGGGGGACACTTTCCGCAGCTCCTTTAATTGTTTGTTATTGTTATCACGATTATTCTTTAAAATAAAGTTATATAGTCATTAACGTTATTGAAACTGACAGCTGCTATACAGCTCGTTGAGAAATGAGGTTAAGTTGGTCGCCATAAGCTACTCCCTACGTCCAATGTGTCAGAGCCAACTTCGACCACGTTTTTATTTGAATGTTCGTTATTATTTATATTATTGGAAAAACTGTTTAGATAAACAATTTAAGAATTAGAGGAGGTCATGGATAATGTAAAGGACTCCTTCATGAAACCAACGAATTAAAAGATTTACCGGAAATAATTATAAAAGTGTTTAGGGAATTGTCATTACAAAATATTTTATAAGCATGATGGAAACGAAATGCTAGGAAAACCTGCCAATATCAAATTAATAAAATGCGTGCCAAGGAGAATACTCACTAAGCTTTTTCTAATATACCCTATATTCCAAAAGTAAAATTGTACGCCATTTTCATTCCGAAGAGTTGGCAGTATCGTGCAATCTCATATGTTGTAGTAAACACTTTACGACTAGTCAAAATGGAGCGCTGTATGACGGATGAGAGAGTGAAGATTGTGAAAATTGTAAAAGTGTTTGCAGCTGAGACTATGTAAATTACGTAGAATTTTTGGTCGAAGGAACGTCCTGAATGAAACAATTGTGAAAAGATTAGTTGCCAAATTTGAACAAACAGGTACGGTTGCAGACAACAAAAAAAAAGTGAAATTCCCGCTAACTAACAATTTTTGGTATAGAACATGCTTATTAAAAGTTGAAGGTTACTGATCTGTGAATAAAATAGAACAATAAAATACAGGGTGTTCCATTTGAAAAATTTTAGAAAATCAGGTTTAAACTTCATAAAAATGGTTGTATTATAAAAATGCCCTGTATAAAATATCGATATCAGCCTTTGTCTAATATGTGCCTATAACTCTGTCAAATATTTTTGCTCCATGTGTTAGTTGAAAGTTAATACAACTTCTTCAAAGTCGTGTTTTTTCCAAAATTCCAAGATTTTTCTACATAACTTGGCAACCCTGCACTAAAATGTTAAACTGTTTATATTGACATACATATAATTTTCTCATAAATCCATATGCTTAAAAATATACAGGGTGTTCCATTTAAAAAATGTTATATTTGGCGTATACCGTTTTTAATCATCGCCCTGTACGTTTCAAATTAATTTTGTAGTTTAGGTTTCTTGATTCTGTGCAACTTTTATATGAACTTTTTTTCTGTATTATGAATAACAAGGAAGTTATTGTACTTTCTCACACTAATGGCCCACCCTGTATATTTTTTAATGTGTGACTCAAATAAGTGACAGTGTTTTTTATTTTTTAACTGTGTATAAATAATTTAGTAGTTACAATACGAACACCAAATAATACAAGTTGAAAAATTTGACTGAAATCGATGTAAGTCACACATACACTTATTTAAAAAATGTAAGTAAATTATGTGAAAATGATTTGAATCCGTGGAATTATATGACTATTGAAAGAAGAGCACTAAAAAGTATTAGACATTATCAGTTATCACACCCAGAAGTTAAAGATTTGACACGGGGAAAGGGCAGATTTGATGTAGTTTTAGTCGAGTATGTTGCTCCAGAACTACTACTCTTTGGAAAAATTTATAAATGTCCAACGATTTTACTGAGTGGTACAGATTTGGATCAAACATTTCATCAGGTAATTGGAAACCCTGCACATCCTATATTGCATCCTGACATACACTTACCATATCATAGACCCCTGAGCTTCTCACAAAGATTTTTGAGTACTGCATATTACATTTATAAGTGGTATGACTATAACTTTAAAGGTGTACCTTTCTACGAAGAAAATATGAGAAAATACTTTAATGTTTCTATACAAATGAAGGAATTACTAGATGAAGTCAGCATGATTTTCTTAAACTCTCATCCTGTCATTCACGGACGTAGACCGTTTAGTCCAGGCACAATATCTGTGAATTACCGTAGAAACTTTCCTGTTTATGAATTACTTGACATGGTAAGATTATTTCATAATTATGTACTTTCATAAACAGACCTAAATTAAAATATTCCTGTTTAGAGCGTCAATAAACTTGTAGACTCCGCTAAAGAAGGTTTTATATACTTCAGTCTGGGATCAAACTTGAAAGCCAGCCAGCTGAATAAAGATTTGTTGGAAGCAATTATAGAAACACTGGGGAAACTACCATATAAAATTTTATTTAAATATGAAGGTGACTATTTACCAGAAAAACCTGACAATGTTAAAATTGTCAAATGGGTACCTCAACTGCGTATACTGAGTAAGAACCAGGATGTCAATTCTTTCTTTATTTGTCAGAATATATTTATTAAAGCCGGTGGCAACAAAATAAAGTTCAAAATCATAACAGACCAGTTTTGATCGATTCTGTGCAATAAACGTCGAAATGTAAAAAGCTTGTCACTTCAACTTCAACAACAGATAGTGACATATTCGTATTTTAAAATTCAGTAAAATACATTATCTTAAAAGTGAAATGAGAGAAAACTATTGAGCACATACAAAATGTCGTTCGTAAAAATATTAAGAATTCATGACCATTTTCTAAGAGATATGCCTTTAGGAGCACTGCTGCCTTATGGATTATTGTACCTTATCAATACCTCCCGTTTTGATTCTGGCACCAATTCCCTTGTACTAGTTTATAGAGTCTCTCCATGAGTTGAATGTTACACTCTACTGGATCTAATTTTGTTTAACCATAAAGAACCTGTCTTCTATGGCTTGAAGCTTCACACTTGTACAGTATACGACTGTTTCTGTTGCCTGTTGCTAAATCAGTATATCACAGACCTCATCAGATATATTTTCAGATCACACTTTTCGGTGGACGAGACTTGTTACTGTATGTAACTAGTTCCTGGGTAATAATAGCTGCATTTCAACCTTTTCTAATGATGTCTTTTATGAAGATCTTAATATGTTTGTGCCTAGATAAATTGTTTCAGTATTTCTTATGCTGATTATTGACCAATTCCCTTACTTGGTACCATTCTATGATCTTTAATACTTCCTGGATAGTTAACGAGAGTTTCGTATTTAATTCGTTAGCTTCTTCCTTGTCCTTCATCCCTTGGCACTCATTAGATTTTCCCATACCAATTTACGTGACTTTGAATTTATTTTATACATTTTCAGTCTCTTTATCAGTGCTTATCGTAACCTGAAAAAGCTCTAATTATCACGAAAATACCATTTGATACTTATTAACTTTAAATTTTCAGACCATCCAAATATAAAATTATTCGTAACACAAGGAGGCCGACAGTCAACTGAAGAAGCCATATACGCTTCTGTATCCATGGTAATAATTCCTTTCTTCTATGATCAATTTCAGAACGCGTTACATAATGAAATCTCGAGGTATAGCACAAGTGGTTTAGCGAGCTCCTTATTTGAAGAAAGAAGAATTTATTGGAGCAATAAATGAAGTGATTACTGATCCTAAGTAAATTTTACTTATTTCACTACGTTTTTACATTATTTTGCACTAATTTCACAAAAGTTCATCCATAGTTGCAGTTAACCTTTAAATAAAAAAAAATAAAATATTTAACTAAAAAACTGAAACAAAAATATGTAACTGAAATTATGTTGTTATTTACTTATTGCAATTTTAGGTAAGTATAAGAAATTATGTTTTTTAATTACAATTTTAGGTATAAGAAATCCATAAAACAACTAAAGAAATTAGCATTGGATATTCCTATGGATGGGTTGGAAAAAGCAATATGGTGGACCGAATATGTCATAAGACACAAAGGTGCAAGGCATTTAAGAAATCCTATAGTAGATTTACCGCTATATCAGTTTCTTTTGTTAGATGTTATTGAACTTTTGCTCCTAGTTTCACTGACTATATTTTCGCTGATATATGTTTTAGTCAAAAAGTTATTAAATATATTTTGTACTTCATCAAGGAAGAATGAAAAGATAGAATAAAATATATTTCACGATATAAACATGAATATGTATTTGCTTGATTTGTTGATAAAATTCGTGAATCCATTTTCAATTAAATTGAATAAGGTCGATTTTAATTCATTTAAAAGCTCGGTATATTTTAAAAAATGTGAAAATCGCTGTCTAATTATATTTTATTGCATTACATTATAACTATATTTTAAAAAGAAGTATTGAAACAATATTATCTAAACTTTGTTTTCGTGCATTTTCGATTAATGCACCCATAAAAATATTTTCTTAAGGATAAACACATATATGCATATATAAAAATATAAATTTAGAAATTCTGATAAGAACTGGTTTCGAGATACATAAACATAGTATTATTGGCGACTTTTATTGCTATCAGTTAAAAAATATTTGCAATAGAAAAGAACCCTCCAGTTTTACATATGATAAAGAGACCTATTTGAACATATATCCTTAACCTTAGAGAAATTCATATTTATTTACATAAACTAGTTCAATCAACTTGGGACCTCAACCTTATTTATTAAAATGTTTTGATAAGAAATTGTCTCCTAGACGATTGTTATGCGAATAGATAAAAATTATCACGAAAATGAAAAAAAATATATATAACGAGCGTTCAAATAAAAACGTGGTCAAGTTGGTTCTGAAAATTTGGACGTAGGGCGTAGCGTATAGCAAATGAAGTTAAACGTCATCTGTCAAAGCGCTATATCGCCGCTATCAATTTGAATATTTTCGTTTTAAAAAGCGTTTAAAATGGTGTTTTCTCAAGAACAAAAAGTGTTTATCATAGAGTCCTACTTTAGAAATGGACGCAAGATTGATGGAATATGGAAGTATTCTATTGAGGAATGTTTCATAGAATTTCAAAATCAATTTCCCGGCGTTGTTGAGTACAAAATTTTTCAAAGTGCAGTTCAGCGTTGTGTTAATGTTTTTCGTGAAACGGGCAGTGTAACAAGAAAAGAAGGAAGCGGCCGACCTAAAAAGCGGACTGAAGAATTAAAAGAAAATGTCCAACAAATAATGGAAAATGCGCCAAGAACTTCTGTACGTGTTTTATCACAAATGGTGGGAGTATCAGTCGGTACCTGCCACACAGTGTTAAAAAAAGATTTGCGTTTGTTCTCCTATCGTTTAACTTGTCAGCAAGAACTTCATGAAGTTGATTTTCCGCGACGGGCTGTATTTTATGAATGGTTTTTAAACAACTACGGTGAACTTCATAATATCACCTTTTTTTCTGATGAAGCCTGGTTTCATTGAAGTGGTTACGTAAACTCACAGAATATGAGAATGTGGTCTTCTGAAAAACCAGATAACTTTTTTGTCGAGGGCCTTCTACACGCTCAAAAAATTGGAGTTTGGTGTGTTCTCAATCGAAGGAGGATTTATGGACATATTTTTTTTAATGGTACTCTTACTGCGCAAAGATATAGAGAAGAAATTATCGCTCCTTTTGTTAACCAGCTGGAAGAAAACGAAATTACAAACTTTTACTTTCAACAAGATGGTGCAAGGGCACATACGGCAGGCGAGACGATGAATATGTTGAGGGAAGTTTTCCAAAATCGACTAATAAGTCTCAATGCTGAACATGAATTTCCACCGAGGTCATGTGATATTACGCCGTGTGATTCCTTTTTGTGGCGTTACCTTAAAAACACTATTTTTAAGCTGCCTATTCCTGATTTAAACCATCTGCAGGCTCGACTTATAGACAAAATTCGTAAAATTAACAATTCCCCGAGCATCTTAGAAAATGTCTGTAATTCTTTGAGGAACAGGTGTAAAAAGTGTTTGGAACAAGGAGGCGGACACTTTCAGCAGTTGTTTTAATTTATTGTTATAACAAGGCAGCTCCTTTAATTGTTTGTTATTGTTATTACGATTACTCTTTAAAATAAAGTTATATAGTCATTAACGTTATTGAAACTGACAGCTGCTATACAGCTCGTTGAGAAATGAGGTTAAGTTGGTCGCTATAAGCTACTCTCTACGTCCAATGTGTCAGAGCCAACTTCGACCACGTTTTTATTTGAACGCTCGTTATATATATATAAAGGAAATATTTGCACACAATGTTTTATATGCCTTTTTATACTGTTGTATCAACTTAATATGCTGAAATTTCGTTTTCGTTTTCGGATCGAATTTCAAGAATATTAGAAGTATCAATTTATTCCATTAAAAAATCTTGAAAGATATATTACGATTTACTTTAGATACAGGTGTGACAGCCCCAATTTTGCTGCAGAATTATTGGTAGGTACCTTTGATTTAATCTATTTAATAAAAAAAGAAGCAAAAGCCACAAATTCGTCTATAAAATCTATTATACTTAGGCCCGGTACTTTGAGTCTCGGTTAAGGCTTGTTAACAAATTAGGCGATTAGACTGTATACAGGGTTCTTCACGGTAAGTGGCCTATTAGACGTTTCAGAGGAACCAAAGACAATATGACTCTTAAATTCTGTTTACGGGGGTTATCAGGTATGTGCTTTTCAATGAAAATAATGCCATCAACGTAGCACTTCCGGTTATTAAAAATGTATTATTGTATTATCGACAAGATAAATTAAAAATAAGTCAAAAATGTTAAAGCTTCCCTGTACCTAAATCTAGCCGTTTTCGAGATGTCGTCATTTTACAAAAAATTTGACAGATGCAAGCGTTTCGAAAATTCCTTATATCTTTCTTCGTTCTGGGAGCTTTCACTTGCTTTTCGGAATACACAAAGAACATAAGATGCACTAACTTCCGCTATAAAAGTTACCTGAAGAAAATTATACTAAGCGACCCATTTTTCACGTTACATTTTGAAAACTTAAAACCGACAAAACTTTTTAAAAAATCAAATTCTCTTCTCTTTTCACCGATATAGGCATTGTAGGGGTTACAGTTTCAATTTACTCAGATATTTGCGGTTTACTTACATTTTCAAGAATATTACGTTAAAATATCAAATGTGCCTTGAAAGACAAATATTAGTATTATCATTCAGTATTATACAAGTATCAAGTATTTCTCGACAAGAAAAATGCAGAATAATTATTCTAATGAAGATATTTTGAATTTATTTTATATTCATTTATTATTTTCATTGAAGAGAACATAATTATCTGATAACCCCCGTAAACAAAAGGTCACAGTCATATTGTTTTTGGTTCCTCTGAAACGTTTAATAGGCCACTTACCGTGAAGAACACTGTATATTCTAATTTATTTTATAAAGGATAATTACAGTCTAATCGCCTGATTAGTTAATCAAGCCTTAACCGATACTCAAAGTGTTGGGCCTTAACTTGCTATCGTTTCTTTATTTTGTTTCATCGTTAGTAAAATAGAAAAGATAATGAAACAACGGTTTTTTTCTAATTTATTAAAATCTGCAATCCCTAAAAATATTAAAAACAGATAATAACCCAGTACTTGATTTTGGGACCGTTTTAAAAATTCGACCCAACCAAAAGCCAAATGTTATGAGATAAAAGATAATTATTCATTTTTTGTAAACAGCATTCAGATACTTCATTGATAAGACTAAATAACAATGTTTTAGATATTGCCATGAAGTCTGCGGCTGGTAGCGTTCAAAAAATGTCAAGAGTTCATTCGCAGCTGATTTCGTCAATGTCACGAGAAAGACATGAGGATGTGGTAATAAATAGCGTTTTCAGAACTGTGCAATGCTATGTCTCTGTGGTGATTCAAGCAAATGACTCATTAAGTATTTTGAAACTTATTGTATGGTTAATTAAAAAATGCCTAAATATGCAGGACGTTATACTCAAAATAGTACAGTCATTGAAGCTTTTCACCTCCGAATTCTTTGAAACTGAACCGATTGACTTGAAATTTGGCAGATAGTTAGAGAAAAGGTCACTGAACATTAGTGACATAGCGCCGATTGACGCTTCCACCCTGTTGTGGGTTTACACCCCTTCTCGGGGACGGACATTTTTTTTAAAAATAACGCTTGAAATCGATAGAAAATCAAATTTCGAGCAAAAAATATTCGAAGAATTTTTTCGAGAAATCAATAGTATTTTAATTATTCACAACTGAAAACTTGGAATTTTGAGTAAAAAAAAAACGCTTTTTCAAAGTATTTTTCGCGAATAACTCAAAAACTACGCATTTTATTAAAAAAAAGTGTAATTAACAAAAAATATAGCTTATAAATAAACAAAGAAAGTCGTTTTCAAGTGTTGTACGTCCTATACAAAGCGGAATATGGTTAGTGGAAGGGGACGTGTTTTGGGGGGGAATACTCAAATCGATGTATTCAACGCCAAATAATGAAAAAGGGATTAATTTTACGTGTATAACGCTCCAGGAGTTTTTTATAGTACTCAAAAAGACCTTCAAAATGAGCACTTATAAAAGTTAATTAGAGCAAAATTGAAGTTATCGTCAAAAACAGATGGGTTGCTCATATTTTTTAAGGAAAAATGACCATTTCCATCAGAATTAAAATTAATCGTAACCATTTACAATTAGTTTTGTTTTAGTGTTTTTTATACGATCCTGAAGTTAGACCGGTTTAGAATGCGTATTTTTTAAATAATGTACGGTAAAATTTGAAAACGTATTTTTCATTATTCAAAAAAATTACCTTATTTATATAATAACTCTGAACTATGAAAGATACGTAAAAATGATAGACAACAAAAATATAGCTTTTTTTCAACAAATATTTTGCTTTTTTATTCCTATTTTAGTGAAAAAACGACCGAGCACTTCGATCCTTTCCCTTTAAAAAACGAAGGACTTAAAAGGTTTTATATGCAAACGATCTTACAGCTCTTGAAATGATATTTAAAATGCTTTTTGGTAGGATTCAAAATTAACCGAGTTATGGTAAAACACCAATGACATTTTTTCGGAGAAAATAGGCTTTCTCATTTTTATATATTATATATTATATTATACAAATAAAATAAGTAAAAAAATTTAGTGTGATTATTTATATGCAGCGTAGCAATTTTTTTATGAT